GTTGTGCATTTGCAATATATATTATGTTTTTGTTAATATGTTGTTTTAAATTAATTGCAAGTCTTTCTTCCGGGCCGGGCGAGAGAAGTCCAGTATAGGTTGTAGAAAACATTAGATATAGCAAAAAGTTCAAAAAAGTCCATTCGCTCACTATATGTGAATGGTCATTAAAAGGCGAAGAAGATGATGATTTCAAAATAACTTTTGCCAACTTACCCATGGTGAAAGGCCAATTTAAAGCCAAAATGCGCCCTTTCAAACTCGAAAATTTTGATGTAAAAAACTTTCACTTGCGACAGAAAAAATGGGAACATATTTGGGGTAGGTATTTTTCGATTTAAGCCCTTCGAGTTGAGCCCTTTTCGAGTTAAGCCCCTGCCACGCCCTTTTTCGCCGGGGGCTTAACTCGAAGTCAATTAACGATTTAAGCATTCGAGTTAAGCCCGACATTTGATGGATGTAAACAAGTGATGCGTGTATACTTGCAAAAATATTGGCAAATAAGTATCGAGGGAGAATGTAAAATTTCAGCAATTTTAAGAAATATATTTTACTAAGATCTCTGTTGCTTTGCCTACGTTTTATACCGACAATGATATCGTGAAATGAGCTAGACACCCTAGAAATGAGGATATTGCAATCAATAAGGATTTGCAACAGGGTGTATAGAAAAATAGGTAATCGAACATCAACGCGCTATTGTATCTGAATTAAGGCGGATTTCCATTCAGTGGAAAAAGTCGCGCGATCAACTTTTTGCGACCACTTTCTTTTGAAATACAAGCAATCAAGCGCAACGGATGAGGTTGACTGCACGCATTTGAAAAGAAAGTGATCGCAAAAAGTCGATCGCGCGACTTTTCCCACTGAATGGAAATCCGCCTTAGCTCTGCGTATGAACGAGATTTTTTCATCTTTGAAAGGATCAGGCTTTTAGCTGTCGATTGATATGTTTTTCATGCCAAATGGATAAAAAATAAGCAAGCACGAGTCCGATAAAAACTATAAAATAATCACCGTAGAGAGTTGGGTCTAAAACAATTGAAAATTTAAAAAAATGTTGAAAACAAGTTTTAAGTGAAAATGCTAATGCAGAGTGGAGAAAATTACGTTCCGAAGCTGGATCGATTCAATTCGATTCAAAATGTTATTGACACTGTTTCGCAGTTTTATTGACACTGTTTATTGACACTGATCGAACCCAGGAACTAGAACGTAGCAGTCGCACAACGAACCTTCTCAGCTGCTGTCGATCTCGCTGAAGTCCTTCTAAAAAACTCGTTTTATATCACTCCAATGTTATAGTGACTGCCAATCATTTAGTTTTGTCGATAACCGTGACCGGCTGCCGGTATTACTGACTACTGTCCTTTCTGTCTGTTCTCTCTCTGACGGGTTCTTGGCAAGATGAGTTACTCGGTTATGTCATATAAATGGTCACCGGAAAACTATAAACGAGTTTACATAATATTCTACTCATAGATCTTGTCGTTGCCGAGTAAATCGGTTAGAAATGTAGCTTGCCTCCATATGAACATGCCTAAGATTTGCGTTCTGCAAGTGCCGCTATATATTATTTATTTTTTAAAGCCGTAATTGCCGCCCTGAATGAGCTGTTGTTAGTACAAATCCTTATTGAGGTCCCTCATTTCACGATGTCATTGTCTGTATAAAACTGAGATCTTAGTAAAATATATTTCTTAAAATGCTGAAATTTTACAATCTCCCTCGATCCTTATTTGCCAATATTTTTGGGAGTATACACGCGTCACTTGTTTACATCCACCAAATGTCGGGGCTTAACTCGAATGCTTAAATCGTTAATTGACTTCGAGTTAAGCCCCGGCGAAAAAGGGCGTGGCCGGGGCTTAACTCGAAAAGGGCTTAACTCGGAGGGCTTAACTCGAAGGGCTTAACTCGAAAAATTCCTACCCCATATATATATATATATATATATATATATATTTTCATTTTAGTCATTTTTGTCGATAATTAATACGAGACATTTATTGTCTATTAATCTAGCATTATGATGCTATAAATTTCATTTAAAAAAAAGCAATTCTTATCTCTTGTATAACGATGCTTTCATATAAAACTTTCTTTAATTTTTTCTGCCATTTCTCCCTCCTTTTTTCTGTTTCATTTTGAAAAATAAGCGCGCTTGCGCCAGTCCCATGCATCCGCATCACACATGGATCAGCGCATTTCCCCGCCCGTGTTTTACAGCGCCCTGCTGTATCGAAGAAACGAGACTGTATGAGTTCCAAAATATCACGCACTCGAACAGACTTGACCTTGTAGTTCAGTTGATAGCCATAAAGCATTGGACAAGCAAACCAAAGATCGCGAGTTTGATTCCCACCACGTTCGGTCAAGCAAACTTTCCAGCTTGCCCGGTGTGGACACACTCAAAGCTTAAGCAACATCACAAACATATTTCACTTAAATACTTTGCCGTGGTATAGACAGGTTTAAAAGAAACTGTCATGGAAAATGAAAAATATTTGGTCAAAATAGTCAAAATGGAAAATATACGGTCACTGATAGTTGGTCACTTTTTAAACGAAATTAGAAAAGATAAAAGTGCGAATGCAGTAGCACGTATTAACAGGTCGATATTTTCTGTTTTGCTTTGCGCATAAATACGACTACCTGACCAACCATGCATCATATTGGTCTACTTATCCACAGTCAGTCCTTTGAATAGTCGGTCCAGATGTTCGCCAAAACCTGGTCAAATATCAGGACCTCCCCCCCCCCCTTGTTAATTGTTAATGACTTGGCGACGTCCAGTTTAGACTATTCCTTTATTGGTCCAGTGTTGCAGCGAGCGAGACCTCTACAGTTCTAATTATGTTTTTAATTATGTTTATTCATCTATACTATATAGAGCTATGAACTGCAAACACTTTTATAGCTTGTGGGTGAAATGAAATTATATCATGACTATTCAATCTATATATACATGCAACATCCAACGTACTACAAGTGCATCAAAGCTAACTCAATTCAACTCACTGAAGTAAAACATGCATGACTAAATTTATATCGCATATAATTCGTATAGTAGGGCGCGTGCTAACAGGAGTATCAAATCTGGTCGAAATTGGCAAAAATATATTAATAGACCAATTGCGAAACTTAGTGGCCGCGCCTTCATACTGCACGAGAACGAGGCTTATTATGCAAAAACAAAACAATTTCTATATTTTTATATAGCGAAAAGTGAATTTTAGGGTTTTTAAAGTGTTTTTTCTTTAATCTCTTTGATCTTTTCTTAATATTTTGTGCTAGGTTATATAAATATTTGTTAAATTTATCTAAACATAGATTTCCCACTATATTTTTACCCGCTTTGGAGAGATATTTCGTTGTTGCTTTAGCATGCGATGGAACAAACATATATGGAAAAGATCAATCTAGACTTTAAAATCTGATCAAGATGCAAATAAAATAGCCAGTATAACTTAACAGACTAAAATATAACTCTTTCTACCCAGATTTTTTTAGACTTCGTGCGAGAAAAAACGATTTTGTCAAAGGATAATAACAAAAAATTTCTACAAATTTTGCCCGACATTTACTTTCATATTTTAATTTAAAGTTAAAATCGAAAACTTGCTATTATATTACAACTGAAACAAAATTAATCAATGTTACAACTTATTCTTTGAAATGTATTAATAAAACAGACGGAAAATACCTGATTCTTTCTCTTTTATCGGACGGCGAAAAACAGCAAAACATTGCCTCGCTCGCCGCGAAAAACAATGAAATTTGAAGTAAGACTAAATCTATGAACAAGTTTAATAAAGATTTACATAGTCAAAACAGAAATATTGAAAAAAAATGAAGAGATTACCATAAAAACCCGTCTCAAACACTGAAATTCATTTTTCGCCATACAAAAATATAGCAGAATGATTTGTTTTTGCATAATAAGCCTCGTTTTCGTGCAATTTAAGGCGCGATCACTAAGTTTCGCAATTTGTCTATCTCATTGATAATTTGTGAAACAATATGGGCGTATATCCGGTTTCTTTCATATTTATATATCTACAACTATACGACAGAAAAATTAGTATTCAAACATACCGGCTTTAAGTTTTATGGCTGCATGTTTCAAGCATGAAGTCTTGAGTCTTGACTGGCGAGATGTTAACGCATTAGTAAACGACAGAAAATGACTAGAGTGTTGAGTAGTTAACTTCTCTTAGTGTCTTCTGATTGGCTAAGAGAAATAAATTATTAATAATTAATTGTTGTGACTCTAGAATGATGCATGCAATGTTCTTCCTCATTTTATTATTGAAGATAATACAGCAGTTTGCCCTCATTTCTTGCGTCATACTTAAGAGTATCGGAAGATATAGTCTTAATGTCTAAACCACTTTAACCTTAACTTCAATTTGATTTGGCAATTAGTTAATGTTTATATTTTTGGTCCAGTATCCATGAAAATCTGATTGCCAATCGTGATTTCTTATTCAAACTGCGCCACCAGTGGCTCACCTCAACTGTGAAAACACTTTTTAATGAAACTAAATTGCTGCCGGAAGTGTTTAAAAACCTATTTTAGCGATAGTGGGATCAATGAGTTGTATTAAGTTATATTTAGTTTGTGCTAAAAAAGACCCCAGCAGAAACACGTTTCGTGAGGGGCCTACGTCATATCCGTTTTGGGTAAATTGACTTCAATTTATTCGAAATTATGAAGTGTGCGTTTCCACTGGGGTCTACATGCAGCGTAGGCTAGTCATGCAGTGGCAGTTTCGGACAAAGTAACAGTAGTGGCGCTAGGAATTCCCAACAAGACGGATAAGTTTCATTTAGTTCAATTTAGTTTCATTAAAAACCTTATCCGCCTTATCTGCAAACTTATAGGGTGTTCGAATAAGGTATATTCTCCCCCGAGAAAACGTTTAATTCTGAGTCCCTGACACGGTATTTCGTGCGTTTCGACTATATTTTGCGGCGGAATACAATTTTCTTTAACTATGCATTCTGATTTTCGCCAAATCTCAGTATTACCGCAATTGGCTAAAGTCTTAGAAAGCATCCAACTTAAATTAAACAAAGGGGACCTTAAGATCAAGGACATTCAACATGCATTTACACACGGTAGATCAACTGTATCTGCACTGGCGAGCATCACCCAAAATTGGTTCAACAAGACTGAAAACTCACGTGATGGAAGAATGGGTATCCACGCCCTATTTATTGACTTTTGCAAAGCATTTGATCTGGTGGACCACGGATTGCTTTTAAGAAAGCTCGCCAAAATAAACGTGTCGAAAAGCTTCTGGCTATGGACACGGAGCATTCTGGAAGGGAGGAGTCAGCAAGTAAAATTACAAGGTGCTCTGTCATCTATAAGGCCTTGCCCTTCCGGAGTCCCCCAGGGATCTGTTATATCACCAACATTGTTTAATGTTCATGTGGATGACCTCGAAGACTGCATTCCCAATTATCTGGACATCAATACGCACAAATACGCAGATGACTGCACTCAAGATGAAGTGATTCCATACGGTTCTACTAGCAACATGCAAGAGGTGCTCGATGCAATAAACAACTGGGCACATAGAAACAAGATGAAACTTAACGCGAAAAAGACGAAAGACATGTGGATCTGCTTTAAAGCTGCAATTCCGGAACCACCACATCTTAAAATTGGCGAAGATACAATTGAAAGAGTAAAGTCATTCAAGTTGCTAGGTCTTTGGATTGACAATACCCTTAAATGGAACACCCACATTGATGAAATTGCAAGGAGGGCAAACAAACGCTTATTCTACCTACGGGAGTGTCGTCGTGCAGATCTACCAACTAATGTGGATTTGACGTGCTATGAATCCAAATTAAGACCGGTTTTGGAATATGCGGCCCCAATTTGGGGTGGCCTACCACAATACCTTACTGACGAACTGGAAAGTATCCAGACTAGAAGCCTGAAAATTATGGGTCTACCTTCTGATTCTCTTCAATCTCTAGAACAACGTCGGGATAAACTTTCCATTCGCGAGTACGAGAAAATCATTAATGACGAAACACACCCATGCAGGAAGTACATACCAGACATGGTGACGAACAAGTATGACCTAAGAACACCAAAAATTCTTCCCGGAATTTTCTCATACACTAAAAGGCATGAACTATCGTTCATTCCCAGAACAAACTCATTATTATAGACAATATTTTTATAACTATTCCTACAATTTTTATCTGTACATATAACTGCTAGACTACTACTTAGATTTTACTGTAAATCCATTGTATTTTTACACTAAAGATGGATCAATAAAACTATTATTATTATTATACATAGCATAATTTCTCGGGTCGATCCATACCTATGTGAACAGGCTTTGTGATCAGTCGATTATTACGATAAAAACAATAAGCTATATGTAGCAATCGTCTTTTTAAGGAACAAGTCATAAACACGGATCACTCTTCTTGAGAAAACGAATTACAAAATGTATTCGTATTTGGTTGGTACTTATACCGAGTTTCATTCTTTGCATGACAAAAGGCTAATTTCACCCGCAGGTGACCTGAGTCCCCGACAGGAGGGGGATGGGCTGTAGCTCTACCTTCTGACGCCTCACTGGGCAGTAATAAGGAGGACATATTCCTTTTGAAATTTAAATGTTTCGAAAAAGTGCAATATTATTTTAGTTATGTGAACAGAACATTACTGTAGATTGGTGAGTCATGCCCAAATATTCGGAAAATACTCGGACAAATACGGAAGATACCATGAGGCAATGCAGAACGGTGTTTCGGTTAGGCTCAGGGATTATTCTAAACTGAATTTGCTACCATTTCTTGAAGTTGTAAAAATATTTCTAGACTTGTAAATGGAAATTACTGGAGTTTTAATTTTTACTTCCAATTTAAACAAAAGATCATGACAAGACTATATGTTCTCTATTAATTTATACCCTACTTCTCTTCAAACTTACTTAGGGAGCAGTCATTATTAATGCCAGGGGGGCGGAAGATATTTGGGGGGGGGAATAAATAATTTATCAACCAGTTAGGGGGGGGCTACCAAAAATATCAAAGAAAGGTAGGGGGGCACCAAAAATAATGTACAATAATCATAACACATCAGCAATTATAGTTCACTGTAATATAAATGTCAATGCAATATAAGTATAGGTAATCACACAGGAAGGAGTGCAATTAATTATATTAACACTACGAGTAATATTTGAAAAATGTGCCAAAATTGCACAAGCTGTTAATTAATTGCACGACTTGCCCGACTGATTATTATAAGTAATAGCATGGCTTGAGGGAGATTAGTGATTAAATGGCCCCGTAACCCGAGGCAGGTTTGCGGAATTCCCGAGGGCAAAGCCCGAGGGAATTCCGCAAACATGCCGAGGGTTAGGGGCCATTTAATCACTAATCTCCCGAAAAGCCATGCTATTAGTTTGTAATAGCATAGTTGCGCTCCCATTTAAAAATGGACAAACATGCCCTACTTGGAATCAGCGTATTTAAGCTAAAACATTTGCTTCATTGCTTGTGGGATGTAAAAGCTTGTTGCACATGCGCACTTTTTACGCTTTAATCGGTTACGCATGCGCAATCTATCATTTAACGTACCACAACAAAAACGCTAAATATATTAGTATAAAATTGGAGACTGCACGTGTGTTATTTAAATGATGCGGCAACTCAGGGATCGGATGATAGACTATTGACGGCTCTGAGCTAACTGTTGCTGTTCCTTGCACGATTATGTGCGTGAGGCACTTGCCTAATGCGTAGTCGTCAGGGAGACAAAGGTGTGACCCTTGGTAACCGGCGATTAGTTCTAATCGCCCGCTCTAGCGGGCGATTAGAACTAATCGCCCGCTACAGCGGGCGATTTAGACTTGCCCAAGTCGCTCGCTAGGGACCGCGCGGAGAAGGGAGCGCTTGAGAAAGACGGAAGCGAGCGACTTGTGTCACTTGCCTGATTTTGAATCTTACTGAAAAATTTGGCGCGAAAATCAATTATAAGATAGTGGGCGTTCACCATGTCAATTTCACTAGTTACTCGCTGGGGCCTTTCGTGGAGTGGCCAAAATATTTCAAACAATTTTGTTAAAATTTTCAACGAATTGTAGCTGTTTTTTATGGATTTTGCATTGTGTCTAACTCTAGACATTCTTGCCAGTTTAGTTAATGCGTTTTTCTTCGTGCACGACTCTGAAAATCCGAAATTTGGATCGTCGAATTCCCGTGCACGATCATAATATACTGAATCTGAATATAAACGAAGCAAAGACAATTTCAAGGTAAAATTATAACTTACAGTAAACTACACAACTTACTTTTACTGCAATAGATAACTACTTTACGAGAAGTCATATCAATATAAAATTTATCCAACAACAGTCCCTATATTAAATTGTTGTTAATAGCTGTGGAAACGTGAAAACTGTAGTGTGAAATATATTGTATTTGCAATGGCTAATGGCGCAATAAGGATAAAAATACCAACGTTCGATTCAGCGTAAGAAATTGTACTTACGGATGTCAAATGTATTACTAAACAACGGTATTCTAGCGATTTATGGCCATTCAAAATCAAGCGAAATTGTATTGTTTACAAATCGTTTGCAATACGTATTCATGTTGACACTCAGTCGCAGTATGTTTGTCCTTGACCTTGTACTAAGTTGTAATGCCTAATGGCGCAAAAAAGATAAAAAATACCAGCGTTCGATTCAGCGTAAGAAATTGTACTTACGGGTGTCAAATGTATCACTAAACAACAGTATTCTAGCGATTTATGGCCTTTATCTTTACAGTAAAATTCACGCGAAATTGTATTGCGAACGAATCGCTCAAAATTATTCAACTAATTATAAAAAATGCAGTACGTTTGATCCTTGATAACTTTGGTATCGTTGGTTTTCTCTTTTTCGGCCGTATACCAGTGGATTTGTCTCGCTTCTCTCTTCATTTTGATAGTATTTTGTGCCCAAAGGCCCCAAACTATTTTATTTTTAACGTTTTAAAGCGCTGTTTATAAATCCTGGGAATCCCGAAACATCGAGTTGGATTCGAGTTCGAGTTGGACTTCGAGTTAGACTTCGAGTTATTTATATACGGGCATTTCCGAATGTTCCGGTAATTTCCGAACAACTCCGACTTATGTTTACTTCTTCGCAACTTCAAACACGTGTTATTACGTTCATAAATATGGAGAATGAAACGTATCTATGTAAATTTACTTTATTATAAATCGTTTTTATAACGCACTTCGTTGTACATCTTATACAGTAATTACTATGTCTATTTTGGAAAAGAATATATTAAAGGTGATCTACAGTCCGATCTGCGCATGTGATCAAAGGAACCCACGTTTTATGATACAAACAGTTTAACTATGGTTTGGGTTCTTGCAAAGCCTGATTGTTGTTTCTTGATTATTTATTATACTCTAGAAGCTTGAAAATATAAATAGTTGTCGAATAAAGCTCAATATTTTGGACGCAAAAATGTAAACAAAGGCTTTGTTTACATACGGACTGTAGATTACCTTTAAAATTTATTAGATCACCTATTAAAATTAATTTTAATCTGGCTCTAATCTAATCCTAATCTAAAAATGACTACCTTTTTTCAATATTCCAGCCCCTGTGCGTCCAGCCTCCCTAATACTACGCGTGAGGATATGTTGCATTATTAGTCTTGAAAGGTCAAGGAGAGTACTATACAGAGGATGTTAGACGGCGGTGTAGTACTACAATACTTCATGTGAACTCGTCATATGCGCATCGCTGTTTTTTTACAAAGAAACGCCTGGGTACGGAGACAGGGTGTAGCATGCGATAGCAAACTGATCAGCACTGCCTCATTCTCGTATCCAGAACCTTTCTTACGCGCGGTGCGACGAGGGGCTCGGGCCAAATCCATAACCGGATATCATAAAAACATGGTAATAGAATATATCCGGTATTAGAACAATAACCTTCGTTGTAGCCTATCAGATGCCAGTTTGATATGGATTTGGCCAGAGCCCCTTGTCGCGCTCCGTTGACCGCGCGTAAGAAGGGCTCTGGGTACGAGAATGGCACTGCCACTGAGATTAGTCTGCTGTTTCTCTGCAGCTCCAGTGGGAGAGGGGGGCCGGAGAGGGCGGGGGGGGGCGGCTGTGTTAGTCTGCTATCGCAGACTAAAGGCGGTGCGAAGATCTAAATTTTACGTTTGAGTGAGTAAAAAATATTGTTTCAGTTTTCACCACGAGATGAAACTTAAAGACACCGTGTATTTAATGTTCTTTTTATTATATAGTCGTTAGTAAAAATAACAAAATAAAATATTATATAGTCGTTAGTAGAAAATGAACACTTAATCGATATCTTCACTAGTGGAGATCTAGTTATGGAAAATATCTCACTGTGTATTTTTTCGGTGTCTCACTGTCTACTATGTAATAAATTAGGGTACGAGTGCTTTTGTTTCAAATTAAGAATACAAACAATTAATGAAGTACATGATATGAAAAAGGTATCTCTGTAAAAAGATTTATTACAACATTTAAAAATTGTGCGGAAACCAGGTCAGGGGGCAGATCATGAATGAGGTAACGGACTAATAGCGGCTGCTTAAGGCGCCATTTGCAAGCTCACAGTCTACCTCGGTCTGCTTCACGCCTGTTCCGGTCCTAATATAACTAGTCACTGAAAAACCCTGATATAGGGAGTGTGCGGGGTACAATATCTGTAACTGTAATCTGTAACTCAAAATTACTACAAGGTGTTGTGGAAGCACAATCGACAAAAAGTTACTGAGCATTTCCGATCGCGCACGATCACAATGTAGGCCTACAGCTGCGGTAAACAATGGTTTAAAATAAAATTCCCCCATATATATGTGTAAATTTGCTTCAGGCTCGCTCGCTCCGCAGCAAAAAATTTTGGGTGAAATACAATTGTCATTTTCCCGAAAAGTAAAGAAAAATATCCAACTCGAAGTTTAACTCGAAGTCCAACTCGAAGTCCAACTCGAAGCCCAACTCGAACTCGAACTCGAATCCAACTCGATGTTACCTAACTCCCATAAATCCTAGCCGGTGGACTAACGCCGAGAGTTTTGTTTGTATAGGCCGCATTGGTACTGTGTCTGATTGTATAAAATCATGAGCAAAACTGAGCCACCTACCTGCAATACAAACCTAGCC